TGCATGGTAGCAGGCGTGATTTTACCAGGAAGAACATTAGACTCAGGGGCGCGACCCGCTAGATCAAACCCTGCACGCATGTCGGCGGCTAAGTTCGTGTCACCATACCCCTCGGCAGCAATGATTTCGTCAAGCAGTTGCAGCCTCTTGCATGACATGACAGCTGCCATATGCGGGTCGGCGACCTCCCATGTCGGGTCCGGATCAAGACCTATTTCCTTAGCCCGTTTGGTCCACTTGCTCAGCCACTTGCTGCGCCTCTGGATGACGGCCTGGGGGGACGCCTTCGATAGCATGTCAATGCACCACGAAAGATGTTCAGGCATACCGCCCGAGGCGGCGCGTGGGTGCCCGGCATGGACAGCGGCCCGTATGAATTCATCTTCCGCATATGGCAGCCCAAACGTCACAGTGTGGAGCGAATCAGGTGACGAGGACTCGCAATCTACCGACATGCCAGCAGTGTCACCGCACCCGGACACAGAAAGATCGCAGAGGGGCACAGCATTATGCCCCGGGAGCGGGAAACCAAGCTCCAGCAGGTAATTCACATCGTCCTGTGGCAGGTCGTCCAACCTAGCGGGGCAAAACCCTATAAGGACAACCCTAGACCCTGACCAAGGTAAGGTACAGTGGAGGCCGTGTGCATCAAAGGCGACTGGGCCCTGCGATACATCAAGGGTTTTGCCCAACAACCTGCCCTCCGGAGTATTGCGCCATGTGTCACCGGCCTCATCGGCCAGCCATATCTCGCCTTTGGTGAAGGCGGTCAGGGGTAAAACGTAGTTCAAAGCTCCGGCCAGATTGTTCCGATCCCGATGAAAAGGTGTACAAGTGTTGGAATAAATCGCAACGCAAGAAAACTCAGCATGCGGAACATGGGCACGCAAGAGCTTCACAGCAGCTTTGACCGAGAACGGGTAGCGCCTGGTGTTCTTCCGCAGGCCGCACAATGTGCCCTGGCAGTAGGCACCAGCTGACCAGGCCTTCTCCCTAGCATCCTTCACGCCCCTGGCCGGAGTCTCATGAGGAAGGGCATCGAAGATATGTAGAAGGTCGTTTTCGCCGATGGCACCGGACAGTGACCTAGCACGTTGTTCCGCCTCAGAAGATACAACGCATGCAGGAGGCTCAGTTCCCGAGGCATCGTCACAAGCAGTTGATTTCCCCGACCCACATGATCGCTTGGTACCCTTGAAATCATCGGCGGCTTCTATGTTCCCCCCTAAACCCAAAAGGCAAGAAGAAGAACACCCGGAACCTAAAGGGGGAGGGGGAACCCCTAAAC